AGTTTCCTTCCTGCTCCTTGCTCTTTCTTTTTTTCTGTGTTTCCATGGTTCTGCGCTTTTCGTTCGTTCTCCCCTGTGCTTTTCCTGTTTTCTCCGTTCTCTGTGTGTTCTGTTCTCGGTATTCCTGCCTCTTCTTTTTTTTTTGCTTCCCCTGGTCTTCCTTTTCGTTTCTGTCCAATCTTCCTGCTCGTCCCCTCTGTCCGTTTGATGAAGAACAGAGGACAGTGCTGGAGTTCGAATTTAGGTCTTGGTTTTTTCTGTGTGTGGCTTGCGTTTTCTTGGTTTTTTTCTTTTCTGGTTTTCGGTTTTCCTCCGGGCTTTTTTTTCCTGCTCTTCCTCTGCCCTGTTCTTTTTTATGTGTTTTTAACCCTTTGTTTTTAGTTTTTCTTCCTGTTCTCCTCCCCTCCTCTGGTTTATTCGGTGCCCTCCTCCTTTTTCTTTTCTGCTCTGGTTTTCGGATCCTCGTTTTATGCTCGGTTTTCTTCCTCCCCTTTTTCCTGCTACTCACTCCCTTTTAAAAGGCTAGAGAGCCTCAACAACCATTACCCCACGAACGGGATCGTGGTCCACGCTTTGTTGCAGATTTCTTGTTGAATCAGTTTCTCCGTGCGAAACAGAAGAGAATGAAGAACAAAGCTTCCAACGACGCCGTTTGTATCCTTGAGGCTATTTTTCACTTTGGTCCCTAATGTTTTGAACTGTATCGATTGGGTTTCTTAATCAATAAATTTTAATTTTTTTCCTTGGATTAATTTCAATTAAATATCTGAATTATTTAATTTATTAAATCAAAGTTTAATTAAGTCTGCAAACGTATTAATTCTCTAATTAAATCCTTTATTTAATTAATTAAACTAGTTAAGAGTTTAATTAAATTTTTAAACTTTCAATTATGTTGCTCTTAACCTAAATTTTAATTTATTCTTTATTCAAAAAAAGAGAGAAAAAAACCCACCTATCATTGTTGAGGTAAATCGAGTTCCATATCGACAATTTTTTTTTTAACTGGCCGACAATTTGAAGTATTCTGAGTAAATTTCAAGAACGCTTACGCTAGTGCCTTGACTGATCACTGGCGACAATTTGGAGTATTCTGAGTAAATTTCAAGAACGCTTAGAAATATTTGGTCATTTTGCTTTAAGATCTAGCTCCTCTATGTAACAGGGTAGAGTTCAAGCTGCATAATAATAGCGCCCAGCTTGCTTTAAAACTAGTTTTTCTGTAGTGTAGTATACGTGGAAAAGTGTACTATAATTCAAGTCTAGGTAACTTCTTCCAAGAAGAGAACAATGATTATCTAGCCACAACACTGATAAAAAACAAACCAGGAGTGTATGCGACTGCAGATCCAACAACACTATCATCAAACTGTCTTTAATCTAAATGAGGTGTTTGAATTTCTTAGCAGCTCCAGTTATATTGGATGCTTTCTTCTGATAACATTCCATTTTCATGTTTGACCGACTAAAGCAGGAAGAGAATTTCGAACTGTTTGAGCTCCATTTCAATTGCTTGGTGGGGCAGAATGTCAATTTTCTGTGTTGTGGCCTTGTGGGTTTCCTTGACCCTTTCCTCTTTATATCCTTGTCAGGGCAATGACAAGCACATTTGGATTATGCAGGGATTGTTTAACGGTGGCTGTGGTTGTGTGAAAAAACCTGGTTTTTCATTGAGTGAACCTGATTCTGATCCTAGTGTGCAATTGACTGTAGAAAAGATTTTGAAGGTGCGTGGAGATAATTAGGTAGTAACTATAAGTGTTTAAATTTCCACTTCTCATCTCTCCAATACTGAAACATCTGAATCGGATTTACCTATTTATTTTCAGGTGAAATCTACTTTGGGGCAGGGTGGCATTTGGATTTTCGCCACACATTTTGATCTGTATTCTCCTCCTGACTTCTTCGTAAGAGTAAGATGATCTATGTAAATATGAGTCATCAGTATATGTGCCTGTTGGAATTTCGAGTCACAAATTTTGAACCTGCTTTTCTCCTTCGGAGGTCTGTACTCGTTGTAAATTTTGACACGCGAGAAGTTTTTCCAGATTTTTTATGCTCATCTGAACACATGCATCTCTCTGCATTACTCATTTGGCAGAATTATCATCTAGATTTCCCTCATTTGGAACATGACCGTGGGAAAAATGTCACTAATGATAACCAACAAATGGATTAGCAGAGTGGAATTGCTGGGTTCCCAGGCTCCCAGCTGGAGCTAAGGATACAACGCACGCAACTAAAAACAGGTGGCTATCTACCGGAATGGAATTAGAAATTGAAGTTCAAACTGAATGTTCCTCGAATGGCTGTGCTCAGGATTGAAGTCCTTGAGCAAGACAGATATGGGAATGAAGGTTTTGGAGGCCAAACATGTTTACCTGTATCTGTCGCTACCCAATTCCTGAATTCAATGACCGGTATATAAATAATGTTCCTCTCTATGTTTTTTTTTTGCAGATCCAAACATACAAACAAACCTTTTCTTCTAACTCAATTATAATTCTGCACCACATTTGCATGACAGTTTAGTCTTGCTAGACTTAGCCTTTCACTTATTGATTTACTTGTATTTGCCTAGCAAGTAAATATTTTTTTCACCAAGAAGTTTCTCACAATCTCTCATTACATAGACAAACAGAATACACAAGTAACGATGCATAGAACCAAACACACAAGTTATTATAGAAAAACACTCCCAACCTTTATTAGTCTTGTCAACAAAGGATATGCACAAGTTTGTTAGTGCGTATGTTATACACAAGTGTTTTGCTCATAAGAGGTTCTATAGGAGAGTTTCATAAGCAAGCTATGACAAGAAATATCATAAGGTAAAACTTGTTAGAAAAACAAAATACAACGAGCATGTCATTTCAAACTGTAGGATGATTAGTCACCACATGATAATAACTCTCCCAACTAGCTAAGGTTTAGAACTACGATGTATAAAAAGACTAACACTACCTTGTTAACATGAGTTTTCTGACTAACATACCTCAGGGTTGTAATAAAACAAAACAGAATCATTTCTTAAATGCTCAACTCATACAATTAATCAAATAAGAAGCAATCAATTCAAATGTACATGGTATCTCATATCAACAAATCAATTTCAATAAGTGATTATGTTTTATTATAAGCAAGAGATAATGAACAATATATAATTTACCAAGAAGCATGATCCATTTTATATTTAACAATTCAAATATATATACTCTTGTATATGAATTATTATCCATTCACTCGACTTAAAAGTTGAAAAAAAATACAAAAATAAATATTGAAGAAATCCTATTAATGCCCAACAAGTGAGTATTATGAGTATCTGAATACAATAATGACATACTAAAAAACAACTCAAAGCATAAAAAAAAAAGAGAGAATACAACTCTAATATTTAAGATCAAAACATAATTATGAAAGCAAAATGGATCTATCCAATCGATCCTAAACACTTGCTAAATTGACCAAACCTAAAAGAACCGCTCAT